GATCTTTAATATCTTCATTTTCTCTGAGATAGTTCTTCTTTAATATAAACCAATAGTTATGTTAACCAATAGCCAAGTAACTTGTATAATTTTGCTTTGTTTCGGTATTTAATAGTTACTATTTGCCATCCTTTTTTTTGTTGAATATCCTGTTTTACTTGGAAATACATCACATTACAGAAGTCAAATGCTAAAGTTGCGAAAAATTGTGGAAATGGCTCTGGTGGCAGCACTCACTCAAATCACAATAGAAAACTCTGAGTGAAATCTCATTGGTCCAAATAACTGCAAATTAAAACTACATGTTTTGTTTGACTTTCTGCTGGAAAAAAAGCATCTTGAACCTGTCTGGTTTGCTGGTCTCCCAGCCAGGCTGAACTGGTATTTAGCTGGTTTATCAACATGGGCTGCGTTTCCCAAAAGCATCAAGATCTTTAATATCTTCATTTTCTCTGAGATAGTTCTTCTTTAATATAAACCAATAGTTATGTTCCAAGTAACCCAAGTAACTTGTATAATTTTGCTTTGTTTCGGTATTTCATAGTCACTGTTTGCTATCCGTTTTTTTTTTTTTTTTGAATATTCTGTTTTACTTGGAAATACCTCACATTACCAGAGTAAAATGAGTTGCGAAAAATTGTGCCAATGGCTCTGGTGGCAGCCCTCACTTAAATGACAACGGGAAACTCTGTGTGAAATCTCATTGGTCCAAATAACTGCAAATTAAGCCTACATGTTTTGTTTGACGCCCTGCTAGGAAAAAATGCATCTTGAACCAGTCTGGTTTGCTGGTTTTATACGATGTAAGCTGGTCTACCTGGTTTCCCAGCCAGGCTGAACTGGTATTTAGCTGGTTTATCAACATGGGCTGCGTTTCCCAAAAGCATCATAAGCACATAAGTACATCGTAGACCCATTGAAACCAATGGCGGTACGATCAACTTGGGCTTACGATGCTTTTGGGGTATGCAGTCCAGCTCAAAGTTCCAACAAAACCTCTCTAAAACCACCATACAGACCAGTCTGACCAGCTATGACCAGCAAATTAGTTTAAAGCCTAAACTGGTTTGTTGGTCATACTGTAGCTAGTCTCCCTTAGCTGGTCAGAGTGGTCTGTTTGGAGGTTTTAGAGAGGTTCTGAGCAGTTTCTATTACACTGTCAGAAAAAAGAAAAGTGCAAACATTGTACCTTTAACAGTACAACTCTTCTCACTGGGGCAGAAGCCTTAAGCGACAATTTTGTACCTCATCTACCATTAAAAGATTAATTTTAGTACCTTAGAGTAGTAGCATATACCCTTAAGGTTCTACTATGAACATTGTAGGGGTAAATAAGGTTCAAAGCTTAGCACTTTTGGTGTGGATAGACATGTTTCCTGACATTTTAAACTTATGTTCGGTTAGTGTTAATTAGTAGTGTCGCACTTAATGTCGATTACTAAGTGTTTGGAACAAAGTTTAGAGTGTTTGCTTGTTTTCACTCTCTCTTTCTCTCTCCCATGTATGGCTATCTTTAAAAACCCTCTTTTTTAGTTTTAGAAGTGATGAGTTTGCGTGTGTTTGCAAGAGAGCGCGAGATCAAGGGAATCCAAGGTTACAGTCGACATGCATACTTCCTCCTGAGATTAGGGACACGATAATGAGCGTCAGTGCTGCTGTCTTGGCGACAGGATGTGAAGGTGTGTGAGTGCCTGGTCTCGGGGTGCGTGTTTGTGAGGGATGAACCTTTCAGTGGGAGAAAAATGGAGGAGTCACAGCAGAGGCCTGAGTGTGGCATGTGCTGATAGAAGTTTAACTTTCTTTACTTGGCTACAAATCTCTGTGTCTTCCTTAATGCTGTAACTCA